ATGTACATACATACCGCTTCACATACACACAAACACACACAAACTCACATACATACACACATACATACATACATATATATTCATTTTTAAACTCTCAAAGAGTAATATTTAATGGAAATTGAAGTAAGTGGAAAAGTGGATATTGTGGTCTGCAAAAATTGCTCAACATTTCTACTAATGATGTCTCAGTGGTCGTCATTATCTGTATCAACATTATCACTGTCGTCATCGTTGCCATCATCATCGTCTTTACTTTTGTCACCAGTATCAACATCATTGTCTACACTAAGATCATTACCGACAGTATTAACATCACTGCTTCCAACAATAATTATTGTCTATGAATCGTTGATTGCAGGTCATTGAATTGTGTTTGTTTTAAATTTTCATCGCTTTTGTTTCAGTTTTTTCTATATTTTATACTGCTTTTTTATAGAAAAGTTTTTTTCAGCAAATAAGCTGTATCTTTATTAACCAGAAATTAAGTGACCAACATATTTTTAGCAGTTTTTTCGTTTTCCTTTCCCTCGTCTTCTTCGATAATTTATTTAGAAATAACTGTAAAAAATATACACTCACTTTTTTCAATTATAAAACTATTTTAACTTGTGTTATAATTATCGGTTGATTGGTATCGGTTTAAATTACATAATTCATATAAAACTGTAAAAGAAACAGTTTTAAGAAATTACTATGTTTTTTTGTACTTGTAACATTTGGGCTAACAACTTATTGGATATTACAGCAACTTTTGCTGCTGTATCAACATAATCGTTTGAAAAAAAAAAGAACGAAACGTTTGTGCATTTTAAATTCAACTTTAAGCAATACTTCTTAGATTTATGTATATATATATATATATATATATATATATATATATACTTTTGGCTTTTTCCTTCTCTCTATTTTTATATTCGTCTAAGTTATTCAATTTTTTAAACATTTTCTTCGTATGTATTTATTTGTGTGCCACTTTTTTTTTCTTTTAACAATATTGCCTTTTGTTTCACGCAGTAATTCTTTTTTATCCCACAACGTTCATTCTTTCCTCTTTTTTTTCCAATTTTTCTTTCTT